GAATCTAATGTATTCCATACCTGAGATTTAAGTCTGTTAATCCAGCGTGATTGATTTTTGTGAGAGTGAAACGGGTGGGTCCTGTTTTAACCTCTCTACAATGGCTATCCAGTTTTCCCCAGCACCATTTATTGAAAAGGGATTCTTTCCCCAGCGTTGTTTGTTGGTTCTAACTTTGTCAAAGATTAGAGGCTATATGAGCGATGGTTTTATATCAGGATCTCACATCTGTTCAAAGCGTCAATATCCTATTTTTGTGCCATACCGATTGTTTTAATTACTACAGCTTGTAGCTATAGTTTGCATATCTGGCAATATTAATGCCTCCCAATTTTTTGTTGCCTAGAATTGCTCTGATACTTCGTGGTCTTTCTTTGGTTCCCATACAAAGTGTACATTATTTTTTCTATATCGTGAAGAATTGCTGGGATGCGATTAATAGGTATTGCTTAATCTGTAATCAGTTTGGTGATGTAACGACATTTAATGGATGTTGAGTCTGCCGATCCACAGCATGGAATGGATTTCCACTGTTTACTCCTCTGCTATTTCCCTTCCTCAGTGTTTCATAGTTCTCCCTTGTAGAAGTCTTTTACCTCCTTGGTTAAGGTATACTCCTAGTACTTTAATTTCTTGTTGCTATTGTGAAGGGTATTGGAGTCTTTAATTTGGGTTTTCGATTCTGATTGGTTGTTGGCATATACGAATGCCTCTGATTTCTGTGTATTGATTTTGTATCCTGAGACTTTGCTAAATTCATTGATCAGTTCCAGAAGTTTCCTGGGGTTGAATCTTTGGGGTTTGTCTAGATATAATATCATATCATCAAGAAACAGTGAAAGTTTGATCTCTTCTGCCCCTATTTGGATACCTTTAATTCCACTTTCCTGTCTGATTGCTGTAGCCAGGACTTCCAGTAGACTGTTGAGGTTTTATGATCACTTCCCTGTTGTCATTCAAGATGTCATCTAAAGCATATGCATTTTTTAGCTGAGTTTCAGTTTTCTCATATGTGAAAGAGAGTTTTCTCATGTAAAACTTCCTAATTGGGAGCTTTCTAAATTAAATTAGATAATTCCCGATGAGCAATTAACATGGTAATCAACAAGTAAGAAAAAAACAAAGTGGTGGCTATTACTAGTAGTATTATGATTTGGGGATGGTATGTAACACATATAGTCTCCTACTCTCACCCTGAATCCAAACTTAGCAGCTTTCCAGAAAACAAGTAGCAAGTCCCATTTTTAAAGGGTGTAAACATCAATTGGATGAGCATTGAACTCTAACTTCTCAAGTCTTAAATTGTTGAGGGACCTTTACTAAATAACTTAATGAAGAAATTTAATTTTCTTAGAACTACTAGCTCATTTGCTCTTCTCTTTAAAAAATGTTTTCAGAAGTGTTTGATTTTTATGTGTAGAATTGTTTCTATACTATAGTGTATAAAATAAATCATTATGTTACATTTAATTTATTAATTAAAAAGGAATTTTGGGGTATCTATGATGAATATTTTGTATTCCAATATAAATTGTTCAAATGAATTTATACATCAATAATACGTTCTTTAATCTGTTATAAAACCACATAATTTAATAAATTTCAGGAAATCTCTATGAAAATATTTTGTGGCATAGTGGTGAGATTTTATTACTTTTAAATCATAAAAAGACACTTAAATGTCTGCATGGGGTTAAATATGGATCACTATAATATAGCCTATATCATAAATAAATATATTTTAAACTCTTGAATATTTCCTCTTTCTGGCAAATATTTCTTGGCACAGTTTTCTGGGAACTCATTAATAACAACTATTTATACACTAAATCTATATTTTCCTTCCCTGCCATGTAAATGATTTTATTTTTTTAAAGCTTAATACATATTTTTGTTTGTAGTGATCTTTACTATTACTACATGAGACTATGGTGCAGTGTATTCAGAGGTTAGATGTCACAGCTTCCATAGATACGATAACACAATGTTAATTTATATTACTTTATTTTCTTAGTATGACACTTTATAGATGTTATCCCCTCTCTCACCCTTACTCATCTCCTTACTTCCCCTAAAGCACTGGAGACAACCTCCTTAATTTTTCACATTGTTTTCTGACTATTTGGAAACACTGTTATTTTCTCAATGAATCAGAGGGTGGCTTGTAAAACTTATGTTGCCAAACATAAATTATGTTGTAATTGATGCTAAACTCTTTGGTGCTTTGGTTTGGTTAGCAAAAGGTCCTAGGTCAACTGAGAATAACTGGGAAAGCTATAGGGCTACTGTCTGGGGCTACTACTACTAATGTCATCTATATACACATACATGTTTGTGTGTGTATGTGTATTTAAAAATCTTAGAAAGGGAAGCAACCTATTATAAGATTTTAAAGTTGGAATCAAGTTCTTATAAAAATTTTACAACTAACTAGTTTTTTCTTAATTTTTATAATTCTAAACAATTCCTTGCTGTAACATCATTTTCTCCATAAGAAGCCAAGAGCTGTGATAAGCATTCCGGTAAACCTATATAGCTTTAGAGAAAAGGTCATGGAAACAAATATACAAGTGTGTGATTAGATAATACTATTGGAAACATTATTTAGATAAACTCTTCAGCATACTATTCATTATAGTAGATGATAAAACAAATCACTTATTTTAGATTTAGAATATTTATATAATATCACACTGCCAATGGTACTTGTAATAAACTCTCTATTTTTATAGTTGTATTCTCTTTTGTGCCATAGTTTGGAGCTTTATATAATAAAAATACCATTAGTGAACCTCTAAGAATTAACTTAAAGCTGTTAGTGCATGTGGGTGGTTCTTTCCAGGTTATGAAAGGATGTTTAAAGTATCCCATTACCTTTCTTCTTGCTTAATAAGAACTAGAATTATTTTGTGGGAGTAATTTAGAAACTCTATTACAAACATGTGCGCTGTAGTCTGGTAGTTGAAAATATTAATTGAAAGTCTTAAATATCTAGTTATTTTATAATATGTAAACGTATAAATATCATAGATGATATTTTTCTCATTAGAACACATAGAACAAAATTATACCCTTATATTCTACTTTTAATAAAATAATATTAATATATATTTTCTTTATAATAAACATTTAATATTAATTTAATACGAACTTAACCCATGGCACTAAAATTAAGTGATCCTAGAAAGATACTGGCTTTGTTTGAAAGATGATGAAGTGTAGTGGAAGAAACACAGACTGACTGTCAGTAGATGTGTTTTTAGGTCAGAATCTGCTTGAATTAGCTATGTTATTTTCAATAAGATATTGCCTTTTGGGGTTTCAGTCTCTTCAGCTATAAGATTATTTTAAATGAGTACTCTTTAAAATGAGAGGTCTCTACCACTACTTTTAGTTGGATTAGAAAGATGTAGATATACATTAAAAATAGAAAGAAAAATTATAGACTTTATTTTGACAGGATAGTATTATTTTTTAAAATCTTACATATATTTGGAGAGGAATAAAAGCAGTAGAAAACAGAATGGTTGGAAAAGCAGAATAGAGCATTTTAGAGTATATAGATAGTGGTAAAAGACAAAATAAATGCACAGAAAGGAAGACCATAGATGACAGTACAAGAAGAATAAAATAGAACTGAACAAAAACTGAAAATAAACATCTTTTAAGCCTGTGTATTTCTGCTTAAGTGACGAAATATTTTTATCATCCTCATACCATCACTGATCTGTAAGTACCCCTTGCTGTTGTTCCTCCTAATTATTATTTTTAACTTTGTGTCAAATATAAACATTCATAAAGTTCTTCTTGATAAAATTCCACAATAAAATTTAAATTTATATTGTAAATATACATATATATATATATATATGTATATATATATATGGACTTGTATGGCATTAATATGGAGTTCTTCAGAAATATTCTAAGTATTGGCCATCACTGAAGGAAGAAAATATAGATCTATCAGAACACCATGGATTTCATAATCTGTAGAGAAAAGTGAAACAAGGTGGCTGTAGTTAGAAATTCATTAATTCATTCGAACAAATATTTAACACCTACAATGTTCGAAACACCTTGTGTTGGAGGTAACGTGGTAAACCATGGTTCCTGTTTGAATGAGTTAGTAAGCTCTGCTTTAATAAATAAAACTTCCTCAAAAAGAACTATTTTTGAAAAGGAAAATAGAGAAAGAGTGAAGTTCCAAATAGATGCTTTGCTTCCATCTCTTGATAGGGTGTGTGTGTCTGTATGTTTGCATATGAGGGAGATAGATCTAATGAGACTTGTCTGAGTCTTGCAAGTTGTTATTGTGTAAAATGGCATCCTTTGAAGTGGAGAGATCCTAATCCTATTTGATTTTCTAGTTGACTGAAGAGCTGTAAAGTAGGGCAAAACATGTCACCTTCATTGTTTAATGAAGGAGGAAGAAAATCTTCCAACATTTACTACCTTCTAGGAATTCTACTCCTGACATGTTTCAGATATTGGTAAAAACTTCAAAAGGAAGAGAAAAGTGAAATCTGAAAAAGAAATATCCATAATAATATTGAGTCTCAATATCATAAATGAACAAACAACACAACACAAATGTGCACACATACAACAAAAGAAAACTGTGTGGAAGGACAGATATGAAATTGACAATATTAGTTACTTTAGAAGGTAGAATAAGATGTATATGGGAGGCACATTTCTCTGGATATCTCTGTACCATTTTGAATGTTACAATGGAAATGTAACATTTGCATGAAATAAGGCCTGGAAACAAGAAAGTCCAGTAACGACATACTTTTGTACTATCTATCCACAGTTTACAATTGTCCCTACCAAAATAAATAATCTCTCTCTTTCTCTCTCTCCCTCTTTCATCATGGGTATTGAGTGATGATTTAATGGCTTAACTTTTTCTTTTTTTTCAAGAAGACAGTTTTACAGGAAGATCTAGACAGTGGAACCAGAAGATGCTTCGCAACAGTTCACTTTAGCTTACTTACCCTTCCACTCTTTGTTGAGGGCTAAGTCAAACAGAAATCGGGACCATCTTCTGCTTCAAGTCCTGGTACAAGGGTAGGGTTGGGGCCGGCTGGAGTCTGAGAGACAGCACCCTATGATTGGAACCAAATTTTCCAATTTTATATTGAGACCCATTGTTCTTTCCAAAAAAACGTTTTCTTCTTTAAAAGGCATATTATTAATTAAAATAGAACCACATTTTGTTTGCCTAAATAGGAATAAGGGAAGAAAACCAAGTATTCAAAGAAAAGGCTAACAACCATGTAATGAATTAGTTGGGACTACCATCAATTGAGGCAGTCATTGTTCCTACAGATGTATACTTCTAAACATATCTTCAGGGGGAAAAAATGTCAAAATCTTTTATAATCAATTGAGATAATAAAATGGGCAGCCATTGAAATAACTCAAGATAGAAACGAGTAAACATTTTTGAAGTCATCTTTCTAAATATAGTGTATATCAGTACTGCTCTCTATATAATTTTTTCATGAATGGTGTATTACATTAAGGAATCAGTTCAGATTTCGAAAAATATCATGGCACACAAATGCTGTACTTTGAGTTTCTGTTTGAATTGAGTTGTGTGTGGTCCTGCATGCAACCCAGATCGTCATCAGCTAATCCTCCTGTCTCCTGAAGAACAGAATTCTCATTGTTGCAGTTTTTCACTGGTAACAGCTGGGCTACCTTTTCTGAGTTAGCTGGCAGGATGGGCAGCTGCATTCCCCAAATCACACAAATCACTAGTGAAGCTTATTTTGATTGCTAACTTCTGCTACTTCAAAATACTCATTTATTTTTTTTTTCCCTGTATGTTGCCATAGATTCCTTCCATGCACTGCTTCACCCGGCAAAATGTTTGGGCTGCAGGTCCTGTATTTTTATTGTAAAAGTTCTAGCCTTCCCCAAACTGGGGGAAGAAATTTCTTTGAGATGTGTTGCTACAGTTATGAATGGGAAAAATATATATTTATTCTTTTATAGTTGTATTCATAGTTTCTTATACGGCAGTTTTGGCATTTTCAACATTGATTTTAACAACACTGAAAGTATTTAGTGAGTTTGGGGGAGTTCGGGGCATAGAGAAATGTGCTCTGTATCCTTCCTTTGCTGTGCAGGAAGAGCCTCCATATCAATTTTCTCCTGTGAAATGAAAGAGTGGCATTCTTTAGTGTTAGTGTGAGGCAGAAAGGGATGGAGAGAGAGCATGACCATGATAGGAAGCGATACAAAATTGCTAAGGTAGTTTATACACAGTATGATGCTCTAAATCAATGCACTGATTGATTTAATGGCAAAATAGAGTATATTTAGGCACATATTAAAAGGCCCGTATGTCACCACTATATATCTATTTGTAAAACGGTCTGAACTTGACAGAGTACAATTAGGAAACACCTCTTTTGTTCTTTTTCTTTCAATATTTTCCCATAAACACTCTAGAACATAATATAAAGAAAACATCAATAGAAAAATTATTCTCATAGGTCTTCAGGTACATCCAAGTATTAGCAGCCTAGTTTTTATTTATTAAAAAGTCCTATACTATCTAAATAAAATGTCCATCTTACAACAAACTAGAGCACCTCAGGTGTGGCTCCTTTGCATTTCAGCTGTGGGGACTGTGCTCCCTGAATATTCTTTTGCTTTTTTTTTTTTCCAACTTCTTATTTTCCACAATTCATTCTGCTGCTTTTGGTTTCCCAAGGATGGTGAAATGGGCAGGAAGAGAAGGATGAGAGGAAGAGAAGGCTTTACCTTACCTTCTACTGTTCTTGGATTCTGGCTGGTGGTTCCATCTTCGCTGGTGCAGGTGTTGTCCTCCCTGTCTGACCCCTTGTCTCCTGTACTAGTGTCATCAAGTACATTCTGCTGGGGGCCACACAATCCAAAAGGCAGCCAATTCCTCTCAGATCTTGTTTGTTCAGATGGATTGAACCAGGCTGTGGTCTGTTATGTCCATTTTACCCACAAGAAGGATTAGCATTTTAGTGTATCCTCTCTTTCTTTACCCTGTCATCCTGACAAGCCTGCAGCTCTTTTAAGTATATCCAAGATCAAAAGGACACATGTCCATTTTTGATACTGTCTGCTACAGCCTCTCCAAGGCTCTGGACACCTAAATTTCTGCTGTTCTCCAAAGATTTAGCTAAGGTAATTTTTTTCCAGGTAACTACCTTTCCAACTCCTTAAACTATTTTTTTTTAATTCCTTCATTTGACTGTAGGAAGGGAAATACATAAAGAGATTCTCCTACAAATAATCTCTAAAGGATCTCTGCAATGCCTCTAAGCATCCCTCATACAGGCCAGCAGTGAGATATGCTGTCAGCATCATAAGGATGATTTTGTTTTCTTGTTTCAAGCTCCACAAAGCCTACTGACTACCACTGGCTTCAGCATTGCCCTTTAGCCAGAATTCTGACAAAATTGAGGAATTGCCTCATTTAATATCCTGATACATTAATACAATTTAACATTTTTATCTCTTTGCTTTATCTATTTTTGTAGACTAATAATAGCTTCTAAATTTATAGTCAATGTCCTAATGCATTCAACCTTTACCTCACTTGGTAAAGTTTTTGCAAATATGACTAATTTAAAGATATTGAAAAAAGGAAATATCCTGGATTATGTGCTTGAGTCCTAAATACTATAACAAGTATCTTTTTAAGAAGAGGGAAAGGTAGGTTAGACCATACATCGAGGGGAAGGCTATGTTAAAATAAAGGCAGGTATTGACATTATAAGACCACAGTCAATACCTGTGCCTCTTTGGAAGAGGCAAGAAACAGATTCTCTCCTAGAGCCTCTGGAGGGAGTGCAGCCCTGCTGACATTTTAATTTCAGACATCTGGGCTACAAGACTGTGAAAAAAAAAAATACATTTCTCTGGTTTTATGCCACCCAGTTTGTGGTAATTTGTTATAGAAGCAATCGGGAACTATTGTATCTATTATTATATATAATAACTTGCTATGATATCAACATTCATATGTTAGAATCTAATACCCAGTATAATAGTAATGGATGGTGGGCTTCTAGGAGGCAATTTGATCATGAAGGCTCTGCCCTTATCCATGGGATCGTGTCCCTATAAAAGAGGTTTGAGGGAGTCTCCTGGCCCCATCCACGATGTGAGGACACAGCAAGAAGTCACTATCTATAAGGAACAGGCCTTCACCAGATCATGAATCTACTGGCACCTTGATCTTGGATTTTACAGCCTCCAGAACTGTGAGAAAAAAATTTCTGCTGTTCATAAATTACCCAGTGTAAGTTATTCTGTTATAGCACCCTAAACGGATAAGACAGATCCAGCTGTAAATCTCAGTCCTCATCTCCCTTGACTTGTCACAAACATGTTTGTTAATCATGTTGACCTTCCCCTTCCTGACATACTTTTTGGTTTCAAAATGCCACACTCTGCTTTTCCTTTACCTTTCTGTAAAATTCTTCTGTGTTTATTTATATTTTCATCCAAGACCTTTAACATGGCAGGACTCTAGGACGCAGCCCTTTGTCCTGACTTCTAGCTCTGTCTTTCTCATGGTGATCTTTGCCCTCATGGTTTTAAGTGCCACAATAATTCTCAAATGTATGTATCCATCTCAGGCATCTTTACTAAATGGTAAATCACACCTCCAATTGCATATGTAATATTTCCATTTGATGTTTAATAGATATAACTATGTGTCACGTGAAGACATACTTCTGCTCTCCTGCTGCCTTCAGATTGGCCCCACCCACAGTCTTCCTTATTTCAGTTGAGGGTAACTCCATTTTTTCAGTTGCTCAGAAAAAAATTTAGAATCAAACTTCACAACTCTAATTCTTCCTCAATCTGTATCTAATCCATCAAACAACATTTGTGTATCTATTTTAACAATACATCCAGTATGTAATAACATCTGACTCTTTTCAAAGTTACTATGCTATTACTATAGCAATAGCCTCCTAACTATTCTGACTGATTCTAAACTTGCCCTATTTGCAACCCAGCAATCATAGTAGCTGTTAAACACAGGGTACTGGGGAAGGGGAATAAAGAGGAGTTGGTTAATAGATACAGAAATAGAGTCAGATAGAAGAAATAGGATTTAGTGTGCAGTACCACAATAGGGAAACTATAGTTAATATTAACTTATTGTATATTTCAAAACAACCAGAGGAGTAGAATTGAAATGTTCCTTACACAAAGAAATGATAAATATTTTAGGTGATGGATATTCCAATTACTCTATTTTGATCATCACACATTGTATGCTTATATTAAAATATCACATGTTCCACATAAATATGTATAACTTTTATAATTTTTTTAAATGAAAAAATTTAAAAATTAAAGAAAATAAATACAAAAATCTAAATTAAAAAATAATAAAAGTTAAATCTAAACATACTTTCTTTAAATAAACCCACCATATCCTGGGCCATAAAACAAACTTCAACAAATTTAAAACAATATAAATCATAGAGTATGTTCTCTTAACACAATGTCATTTATATAAAAAAATTACAAAAAAAAACTTAAAGAAAATTTTCAAACATTTGGAAACTAAACAACACATCTCCAAATAGGCCACTAATCAAAAAAGAAGTCTTGAGGGAAATTTTTAAATATGTTGAATAGAATATTCAACATTAAATATGTTGAATAGAATAAAAATCAATGTGCAGGACACCAAATCTATGCGATACAGCTAATGTAGTGCTGAGAAGAAAATGTATAGCACAAAATAATTACATTAGGAAAGAGAAAAAGTTTCAAATAATAATTTACCTTCTAAATCAACACTAGAAAGAGAAGAGCACAACAAATCTAAAGCAGGTAGAAGAAAGAAATAATGAAGATAAGAACAGAAATCAATGAAATTGAAAATAGAGAATATCAAAGAAACAAGAAGCTGACTCTTTGAAAAGATCAACACCATTGACACAATTCTAGCAAGATAACAAGAAAGAAGTCATAATTACAAATTTCAGGAACAACCTGGGGTGTATCATTACAGACACAGTAGATGACAAATACTAAGTGAATACAATGAACTCTACACATATAAATTGGATAACTTTGGTGAAATGAACCAATTCTTTAAAAATATAAACTACCACAACTCACCTAATAGTTTGAATAGCCCTATAATTATTTTTAAAAATTGCATTTTTAATTAAAAATTACCCAAAATAGAAGTCTTTAGGTCCCGGTAGTTTCATCAGAGAATTCTACTAAATACTTAAAGAACATACTACTCTGCTGAAAACCCTCATTGATGCCCCATTTCACTCAGAATGAAAGCTAAACCCTTTCTATGATCCACAAGGACCTACATAAGCAGGCCCCCTAGTACCTCTCTGGCCTCATCTCCTACTACTCTCCTTTTTGCCCCCTCAAATCCAGTCAAAAGTGCCTTCTTCTTCCACAAACAAGCAGGTAGAGATTTAAAGCAAACTTATCTCCTTATAAATTCACTAATACCATGGCACTAGGTGCCCATCTTCATGACCTTTTCTAACCCTAATTACCTCCTAAAGCTCCATTACCACATACCATGACATTGGGGATTAGGGCTTCAGCATATGAATTTTGAGGACACACAAATATTCAGCACATACAATATTCATATGATTTATTCCACTTCTTCTTTTAGGTCTCTACCAAAATGTCTCCTTCTCAGTGAAGATTTCTCAGGCCATGCCATATAACTTGTCAGCACCCGCACGCACTTCCAACACTTGTTATTTCCCTCTCATGTTTAACTTTTTTCCTCTTATGCTTGTTGCATGTAATAAACCATAGAATTTACTTTCTTTCCTTCTCGTCTGGATCCTTCACTATAATATAAGCTCCAGGAGGTAAGCTGTATTTTGTGTTTTCATTTTTTTTCAACACTATATCCTCAGTGTTGAGAAGAGCCTCTGGTAGGTAGGCACTCAATAAATATGTGTTGAGTGAATGAACACATTTCATATTCTCAAATATATTACGTAATGAATCTAATTATCAAATTATAAGAGAACAGCATGAAGTTAAAATCAGTTGAACCTAGATTTTGAAAGTTCTAAGTTGGTGAAATCTATCACTGTGAAATGTTAAAATGTATAAGAACCTATGTTCTACTATACTCTGCTGCCGTCACTATATCTGTGTCTCCCCCCCCCCACTGTCTCCCTGCCCCCCACTCTCTCCCCGCCTAGTTTTTGTTTCTTCAACTTCAACAGCTTGAGTCTCATTTTGATCTGTAATACATGTGGTTCTTCTTTTTATATTTAATTACTATTTTCTACTGTTTTCCAGAGTTTTATAAACTGTTTAGTCATCTTACACTTGTTAAAATTTTAAACTCTTAATTAGAAAAATAAACTTGAAATCCATTTTAATTAAATATCTAGAAATGTAATTTATAAATTTATTTATATCTTATTAAGTTCATAGTAAGTTACTTCTGTTTAAATTTATTTAAATTATAGAAGATAAGTTTAACTTTTAAATGTTTCATAATAAAATACTCAAAAATGTATCAAATACAAGATATCATCTACCTATCATTTTCCAGTACCAACATTTATAAATAAAAAGAGATAATTTTCATATCCTAACTGAAAAGATTATTTTAAAAGTCTGATGCTCTACCAACTGAGCTATCAGGGTGCTCTGAAAAGATTATTTTAATTTAAGCTGACCACAGGGAATATATACCTAGGCATTTTATATATGAAAACCTTTAAATGTAATATATAGTTAAACTTATGTAAAAAAAATGACTTTTTCAAGACCTCTGTGAATGAAGCCTGCATTAAATCAATTAAAATTATCTCATGAAAGAATAATATTATGATATTTTTAGGTTGGGAACTGTGGTAGCTATCAATTTGTTGGATGCTTATATCCTGATTATTCATATGTTTGCCTTCTCTTTAAATCATGCTAGTGGAATTTATAACC